CCCACCTCACTACAACCTCCTTTCAGGTAGTTGTAGAGCGCGATGAGGTCTCCCCTCAGCCTCCTTTTCTCCAGGCTAAACAACCCCAGTTCCCTCAGCCGCTCCTCATAAGACTTGTTCTCCAGACCCCTCACCAGCCTCGTTGCCCTTAATACTGGCAATAGTTTTCTCAATAACTCATCACCAGCTCTAAGTAGCTTAATATATAACATATGAGGGAAAAATTGCTAGAGCACTTTAAGTAAGAGTGGCAAATATTGGGAATTTTATGCCACCAATATTAAAACACTCTTGGAATCCTTAAGTATTGCATATAACAATTTCTTACTTCCATATTACACAATTAAAACTTCGTAGTTACTGAGATGTGAATGACTGCATCTTATTACATTCATTTGTGGAAACAGAATAAAGTCTACATCTATGTTTTAGAGTGTTTATGTTCTAAGATTTAGGGTTTTTATATTCTTTTGATCTTACAAAATTGAAAAAATAGAACTGAATTATCATGGATAATTAGTATTAAAACTGGAATATATGAACCATAACTGAAAACCATAATTGAAAAGAACTGTAAACTATTAACTGAATGCAGCTGGCATTTGGAAGCCCGTTTCCTGGTGTTATGCTGAGATTCCTACCCCTCTCCCCATCTCCCTGTCCATGAAAGTTGTACTCAGCCATCAGTGAAGGACAGCAAAAAGGAGGAAAGCAGTATGTTCACAAACAGAAGTAGTCATTAAATTTCAGGAAAAGAACTGAACAGTATGGAATAATTCTGAGACTAGTATCTGCTTTATAACTCATGATGGTACGTTTCAGAATCTATAGCCTTTAGGGTACAAATCAATTCAATTTGTAAATTTACTCATTCATTATTTTCCAAAGATTCTGCTTTTTAATTTTTTTTCCTTCTGGGTACATAAAGACAAACATGCTTTTAATAAGGCTTATATTATCCACTGCTATTTCCATCCTACATATTGTTCTTTAATGTTAACTCCATACATTCTCCCTCAAATAGAGACACAGATCCACAATTAGCCAAGTGAAGGTAATTTACACTAAAGAAATATTTGAATCACATTCACCTTTACTGCTACACAGCCTACCAGTCAGTATCCTTGCACCACTATGTGCTTTCTAGCACATCTATTGGACTGGCCCTGGTAATAGGTTGTTTGTTCTCTCACTCACTCTCATACCTGAGCAACAACAATATAATTTTCCTGTGCATGAAACCACCAGCCCTCAGGGAATTATATCATGCTATTAAGAGCACCTTGAATTTGTCTTCCATTCACTGTATTCTTTCCTCTTAATATTAAGTAAGGTTCAAGACCTCAGTCTTCAAAATATCTAATTACCTTATTCTTGGAAACTGCAAAAGTTCACCTAAACTCCCAAGAAAAAAGGAGCAGTTAGCAATTCCCCATATAACTTGCAACAGACTTATCCAAAGCAAGGAATAATTTTGTTTTCCAGGAGAGAAAGGGTAGACCTACGTATTTTACAATCAAGATATGAGCTCCCTTTGCTACCATCTAGGCCAACCATATGCCGGGTAACTTATAATATCACAGTGCTGAGTCTTAACAAGTAAGTCCAGCTAAGACACAGCAAATATTAACTTATGCTCAGCACTCTCTTTAACATGGTCTGTAGTCATCTTGGAGCACAAGCAAAATTAAGTCATGCTTCCCAAAGATATATCATATATATAATTCATTGCAAGCCAGGGCCCTAGTATGCAATGAACTCTAGAAATGTATTAAGAATTCACTACAGATCTTACCAGTCATCATGGCAGGTGCCTTCAACAACAAAAAAATGTAGTAGAGCAGCCAATGAAAATATATTAATAAATCAGCAATGTATAAATGTATAAATGACTTTGAGAAAAGGTGAAGGAGAAGACAAGGAATTTACTGTTGATATTAGAGATGTATCCTAAATATACAACAGTTCAAATATCAAATTAAAAAGTTGATATAACAAAAACATTAATATCAACAAAACCCTACCAGTTCTTTCTACTGACCCTATTCCATGAAATTTAAAACCATGAAAGATGTGACAGAATCCAGATTTCAACATCATTTTCAATTCAAAGTGCAGCCCTTTCCACATTAAAGATTTCTTTTTGTATTTTGTACATCAAATACTATGAGTGAAGAAATGGCATTACTCAAATATTTCAGAATACTGACCAACTCTGCTAGCAATAGCCTTTCAATCACTGTGATTAAAAGCCTTTAAATTACTGTGAAGAATTTCTTTCAAATTACTTTGTATTATTAAACC